TAGCAGTATTGACGGTGATAACGTTATTTCCTAGACACATCGGTGTAGTATTTTATCGTTAAAAATCTTAATTCATTCATTCAAACATATTTACTCTAAAATGAGACATGTTAAGCAAATTTATCAGGTTTTTGGGTCAACATATTTGTGTCTCTGAAGTTTGACTTCTGGCTCAAACACATACGGTAGGTTTGTTATCCTGTTTTCTGTCAGTAACATGTAACATGACATCTTCTTCTTTTCCTTTCAGCTTGTCCCTTTTTCAGGGGTTGCCACAGTGAATCATCGTTTTTCATCGCTCCCTGTTCTCTGCATCGTCTACTCTGACTCCAACTATCTGCACGTCCTCCCTCACTGCATCCATAAATCTCCTCTTCTTTTTCTCCTACCTGGTAGCTTCATCTCTAGAATTCTTCTACCAATGTATCCACTGTCCCTCCTCTGTACATGTCCAAACCATCTCAATCTGGCTTCTCTGGCTTTTTCTTCAAACCTTCCTGTCTGTATTGTCCCTTTAATGACCTCATCCCTGATCCTGTCCATCCTTGTCACTCCTAAAGAGAATCTTAGCATCTTTAACTCTGCCACCTCCATCTCCACCTCCTGTCTTCTGCCTATTGCTAGTGTTTCTAAACCGTATGTGTCAAACTCAAGGCCCGGGGGCCAAATGTGGCCCGCCAAGCCATTTTGTGTGGCCCGCAGGAGCTTAAAAAGTATTCAGTAAAGTCCATGCAGCAGAGTTTCTTAACCTGTGAAATCAAAAGTTTTTTTATGACACAGCAATGAACAGCAATATTTGTAGTTTAATTAAATAATAATCAATTGCAATAACATGTTGTGGTCCCCAACCTTTTTTGTTCCAAGGACTGGTCAGCCAGTACAATCCGTTACTACAGACCGGTAGTAAGGTGCTGAGCATTGACAGATAATCTTTTAGACTCTATTCTGTTTGTATCAGAGTCTGAATGACTTATTATTTTAAAATATTGCCAGATTATCTTTAAATAAAGAAAGTAAATGGATATGACTTTCTTTGAAAGAAGTAAATTAATAAAAATTAAGTAAAATTTATCACTGTGTCCCACTGCCACCCAGTACCAAGTGACCTATGGACTGGTACTGGTCCGCGGATCGGGGGTTGGGAACCCCTGATCTATACAGTCTTCCATTTACAACCGGCCCTTCAAGGTGAACTGTATCGCTAATGTGGCCCCTGGTGAAAATGAGTTTGACACCCCTGGTTTAAGGGAAACACAAAATCTTTTTTTTTTTTATTATCTAATAGTGACACGGATTAAATATGAGGTGTAATAAAAATAAAATAATTACCATCACTGCTTGATTTAATAATAAAAAACAAACAGAATTAACTACCAAAGTTATTTTAGAAAGCCCAACATAATGGTTGAATTTTAAAGAAAACTTTGTTTTTTAACCCTTGTGCGGTCCTTCGCATTTTTGTACACACCGTTTGTCTTTGCAATGATTTTCATCTTGTCCCAGAATATGAGTATTAATGAATATGAGGAAAAGTTGGCACAAGTCATGCAGTACAGGAACATGCACACGCACGCCTAAATAAACCTGACAACATCAAACTACCTCCTCTATTGAGATATGGTTTCTCCAGATTGACGTAGATGGGTTCCTTCACCCCTCTCTCAAACCATTTGTCTTCTCTGCAGAGGATATGTACATCCTCATCCACAAAAGTGTGTCCTTTGTCCTCAAGATGTAGATGAACAGCTGAGTCCTGCCCTGACCAGCTGGCTCTTCTGTGTTGTTGCATATGCTTGTACAGTGGTTGTTTGGTTTCCCCAATGTAGAGATCAGGGCAGTCCTCACTGCACTGTACTGCATATACAACGTTGCTCTATTTGTGGTGAGGTATTTTGTCCTTTGGGTGAACTAGTCTTTGTCTGAGGGTGTTGGTGGGTTTAAAATGTACAGGAGTTAGGTGCTGGTTAAAAAGTTTTTCGGAGGTCCCAGCAACATAAGGAATGACAATGTTGTTCCGTTTGTTACCGTTCTCCTCTCTGTTTTTCTGGTTGGTTTTGGTGGCTTTGGAGACGGCCCAATTGGGATAGCCGCAGGTCTTTAAAGCGCCTCTGATGTGGGACCATTCCTTAGCCTTGTCCTCCACTTGGGAAGGTATGTGTTTGGCTCTGTGATTCAGAGTTCTGATAACTCCCAATTTGTGTTGTATTGGGTGATGTGAGTCGAAGTGTAAATTTGTTTGGTGTGGGTGGGTTTCCTGTAGACTGTGATGTAAAGGTTTCTGTCCTCCTTTATGTGTACTGCACAGTCCAGAAAGGCCAGCATGTCCCTTTTAACATCTTCTCTAGTAGATTTGATGTGTTCGTTGGTTGTATTAATGTGTTTGGTGAAGGATTCTAATTCAACTGTCTTGATATTAATCCCATATCTGTACCAGTGTGATGGTGCAATGCCGCTGTAGGAGGCTAGTGCCTTTTGTTCTACTTCCTCCATGTAGAAATTGGCTACAATGGGTGATACTGGAGACCCCATGGTGCATTCATGTTTTTGCATGTAAAAACTGCCATTAAACTGGAAATAAGTGGTGGTTAAGCAGAGGTCTAGGAGTGTGAAAATCTGGTCTGGAGTTAAGGCGGTTCTGTCAGCTAAAGTTGTGTCTTTTAGTAAGCCTTTTTTGGTCATTTTGATGGCATCAGAATTGGGAATGCAAGTAAAGTGACGTCATATGAAACTCAATGAATCTCTTCTGGTTCTATTTTGGTCTCATCTGACCACATCACCTTCTTCCAGGCCTCTTCTAAGACGTTCAGGTGGTCAATGGCAAACTTCATGCGGGCCTGTACATGTTTCTTCTTCAGCAGGGGGACCTTGTGTGCGCTGCAGGATTTCAATCCATGACGGCGTAGTGTGTTACCAACTGTTTCATTTGTAACTGTGGTCCCAGCTGCCTTCAGTTGATTCATCAGTTTCCCCTTGTGGTTTTGGGATGATTCCTCACCGTTCGCATGATCAGGGACACCCCACAAGGCGAGATCTTGTGTGGAGGCCCAGATCAAGGGAGGTTGGCGGTGGTGTGGTGTTTCTTCCATTTCCTGATTACTGCACCAACAGTTGATCTTTTCTCTCCAAGTTGCTTTCCGATTCTCTTGTAGCCCATCCCAGCCCTGTGCAGGTAAACAATCTTGTCCCTGATGTCCGTAGAAAGCTCTTTGGTCTTGCCCATGGTGGAGATGTTGGATGCTGGTTGTTTGGGTGTGGCCCATGTTTGGACCACAGATTTGACCACAATGCAGCATGATTGCAAAGGTACTGATATCTTGACATGACAGAAGAGAGGTTGCACCACAGCAACAGCCATTATCATCACAAATCCGTACCAAGGTATTTGTTCAGGCCTTGAATGAATGCAATTCAGTGTATGAACATACTCATTTATTAGGGTTGACCAACTTACATTCGTTCCATAGAAAATACATTCAAGTGTGACACCTACGCTCATAAATTGCCCGTCTGTCAATGAAAGTGAGAGCCAATAAGGTTTAAAGCGTGTTAAAAATAGAGTCACCTCCAGTTTTATTTCTCGCCATACTAATATTTGTAATGAGTCAGCAAACATTATAAAAATAGAATGTTTTAATTTTCATGATTATCATTATTTAAAATGGAAGTCATTTAATAATCCATTTCTCTCACTCACCAGCGCTTTGTTTATACAGTTTATACAGTTTCCTTCAGGTACACATTTGTGTAGTTCTGCCCATATGGTATAGAGCACACTCTGTACCTCCATACAACGAGTATGGCTCTGGAAAGGGAACACAATCCTTCACACGTTAGTTATCAACCTTGCTGATTTTGCAGGTTTGCCCACTTACAAAGAATGCAACGATCTATAATTTTAATCACATGTATATTCTAACAGTGAGAGACAGAATCCCAAAGTAAATTCCAGAAAATCACATCATGTGAATTTATAAAAAATGATAACCATCTGATGAGGAAAAACAAGTATTTGACCGCCCACCAAACAGCAAGTATTCTGGCTCCTACAAGCCAGTTTGTCTTTCTTTAAGATTAGTTGGGAATGCAGATGTGCCAATCCCAACTAATTATCTACATTAAATACACCTGCCTTACCTCGTTACCTGTATAAAAGACACCTGTCCACACCCAAACAACCAGCATTCCAACATCTCCACCATGGGCAAGACCAAAGAGCTTTCTACGGACATCAGGGACAAAATTGTTTACCTGCAAAAGGCTGGGATGGGCTACAAGAAAATCGGAAAGCAACTTGAAGAGAAAAGATCAACTGTTGGTGCAGTGATCCGGAAATGGAAGACACGCCACACCACCACCAACCTCCTTCAATATGGGCCTCCACACAAGATCTCTGGAATTTTCTTTGGGATTCTGTCTCTCACTGTTAAAATACACATATGATTAAAATTGTAAATCGTTCCATTCTTTGTAAGTGGGAAAA